AGTCTAGACTTTCGCTAAGGTTATTTTTTGATACCCTCCATTTGCTGTTCACTTCCTGCATAAACTCTCCATTTAAAGGGTATTCTCTATGGGTGTACTCTTCATTTACAGGGTATTCCCTATGGATGTAATGGCATGCAGAACACGCTGTGGCATGATTGATCGCAGCAACACTGTTGTCATTTGCCAATGTGTTTGCCTAAACATTAATAACAACACTCGGGTTGCAGCTGCTGTGGCAAACGAAAGACTTAGGCAAGAAACTTGCGCTGATTTATATATGCACAGCTTTTCTTTTCTTTTTTTTTTTTCTGCACGTTAAATGTTTTGATGGTCAACTATGCAGCTGCTGCTGGTGTTGCCGTTGTTCATCATTTATTACAATCAAATGGAAATTGCTCTGGCTGTTTGCAGCAGCAGCAGCAGCAGCGGCCACTGTTGCTGGGGCTGCTTCATTAGGCAGCTATTAGGCTTTAATGACCAGAGCGAACAAAAAGATGAGCGTGGCTGGGGAAGATTAAGCGCCAAGATCAATGGGTGCGTCGTTTGGCACCTAAAAATTGTTGCTGCTGCTGCTCTGCCGCTGCCGCTGCTGTTGCTGTTGCTGTTGCTATTGCTATAGCTGTTGGGCCCTAACTGTATGTGCTATTAGGCAAATCGGCTTAGAAAGCCAATGTCAGCAATTGGAATTGCTGAAAAAGAAATTACGGGCATTTGTAACAATTATTTGCCATTATCAATGAAATGTAATGAAATGAAATGAAATGAAAGCGCCGCTCGCTCAAATAAAAAACATGCCAAAGCGTGGCCCGCCCCTTGCGCCTTGGCCGCTTGTGGCCCCTGACCCTGCTTGACGTTTTTAGCCGAATTAAAAGAAAGCGGGAAAAATCCAATAAGAAAATTGAATGTGCTCGTAATGTGCGTAAATTGAGAGCTACAAAGGGGGAGACAGCGGAAGAGCGAGAGCGACAGCGAGAGAGTCAGGCATGTAGACTGTAGAAGCAAGCGGAAGAGGGTGACTGAGAAACAGAGAAAGAGAGAGAGAGAGAGAGAGAGAGACAGAGAGACAGACGCTGCGACTGCATGAATGAGTGTTATTTGTTTAAGTTGTCTTTAACAGCTTGAGGCCGTTGCCGTTAGTTGACCTGGTTAAGCGCTTGAGATAAGCGTTAGAATACAGCAACAACGGAAATCAGGTAACAACAACATCAGAAGCAGCAATAGCAGCAGCAGCAGCAACAGAAACAGCAACAGCAACAGCAACAGGGCAACAGGCAACTAAAGATCTTTGAGAAATGACTACATAACTCAGTCGCAATCGCAGTCGCTGCAGTCGCTGAGAGCAGACAGGCGATCAGCCAAGCGATAGCAACAGTTGTTGCAGCTTCAAATTGTTATTGCTGTTTGCTGTTGTTGCTCTCTGCTGTTTGCTGCTGCCCATCACAATGGGATTTCGATTTGAATTGGGCAGCAAATTGTTGCCACGAAAGGTCGCCACATAATCCGCAGCAGCTACGCACGTAGCAGCGTGGCCCGGGAAACCCAGGCAGCCCAAACAGCCCAGGCACTGCGGCATCAACTGGGCAGGGAATAAGTGGACGAACGCGACTGCCAGGGCTGTCATTAGGCGCATCATCATCATCATCATCATCAGACGGCTGATCATCATGATTTGATCGGGGCTTAATGATAATGCATTTGGCATTTTGTTTGCTCAATTCTCGTGAGGCTGCTGCATAGACGCAGCATCTTAATGACGCACAATTGCTGAGGACAACGCTGAAGATATGCAGAGCTTGGGCTGAGTTTCTTTGCAAATCGGCTCGCTAGACTCCAGACTCTAGACTCCTAACTCTATAGAATGCTGACACTTTCTGTACTTTTGCTGTCTTTTTTATTGAAGCGAACTTCATAGTTTGCCGGAAATGATTTTCTTATTATGTGTTTTTCTCACTCTCTAGTTTCACTGTCAAGTGCGTACAACACTTATCGATGAATAGACTACATGCATTTATCGATAGGTTCCTTACGCCTCGGCTTCAACTCTTAATTCCAATGAACCGGCTAAAGAGCAAGAAATTTACAACTCAATTTAATTCACCTCTCGACTCATAAGCCCATCCATCCTTCAAGATAATTCGACAATTGCTACATCATAATCTAACAACTTCATTCGATAGATCAATCAACTCGATGAGAGCTATCGATAAATGCTTGCTCACTTGCACTCAACGATAAGCATTTCAAGCAGCACTCAATCAACGTCCGAGCAAACATTTATCGCCGCACTAATCGATAAATTAACGCAATGTCGGCCAGAGTCACTCGTTCCAGTTGGCACTCGGCCCAGTTGGCGCAGGTGTCAAGATAGCGACAATTGATCGCTGAGAAAGTGCGTTGGCTGGAAAGTGCTCGAGCTGTAGCTGCTGCTGACTCTTTCTCTTTTTATTTTTTTTTTTATTGACAGCGGCGTGTTGCAGTTGCAGCGATTAGAAGCCAGCATACACACACACACACGCATACAGCGACAGCAAGCTACCAAAGGCGGTCACATCACATGGAAGTGGGCCAAGTTCTGTGTCGGCGTTGCCAACTCACACACACACACACACAAACATACTCAAGTGGAAGAGAGTCTTTGGTTCGCTGTCAAGATTCGGGTTGAGTCGAGTTGCCTGGTCATGCAAATTCGTAAGTGTTTCTGGGTCAGCCGGATATACGAGTGCATTTTCGGCTGTTGAGTTTTCTTTTAGCCGGGCGCCTCATTTGGCATTTGACGCGATCTTGACGGCCAAATCAAACCAGTTTCGTGTGCAGCATGCGCAGCGCTGATTGAGCCGACTTCCCTCGCCCTCTCCCCCAATTCACAGCTCCATGCCCTAAGCCCAAGCCAGCTGGCTGTCAGTCAGCAAATGAATTTTTGCGGTCAAGCGCTGTAGCTGGCGCTGTGCATATATTTATCGATAATTCAGCTATATATATAGCTTAGAGAAAATGTAATTATTTATTTAATTAAAAAATGTAATTATCTAATTAGACTTTAGAGACATTTCTTTGCATGGAATTCTTCTCAGTTGTTAAGCCTATATATGATTGAATCTTGTGATTTTATCGATTATCGATTTGTTCTTATTACATTTTCAAGAAGTTTACATTAGAAATTGAAGAAAAAATCCTTTATATATTAAATTTGTATACATATCGGTGAAATATCGATCATATATCGATAACATATCGATATATGCTTGTAAGTTTTTTCTGTACTTTTCATACTTCTTTTAAAAGTTTCATATATTTCTGTTGTTGTTATGTTTATCGATAGTTTTCCATGTCGTAGCGGTTATTTTTACAACCCAATTGCGGTCATTCAATTTGTTCAGTCACCTTAACATTTCGCTGCGGTTTACCCCACCTGCCCCTGTATTTCTTTCTCTTTCTCACTCTCTCGCTCTCGCTCACTTGTTGAAAGTCAAACATTTTTTTGCTCTTTGCTCTGATTTTCACTTCAGCTGGCATTTCTTTTGGCTTAGTTTTCTTTTATTTTCTTTTTAGACTCTAATTGCCAAGAGTCTTGTTTATTTATTTATTTTTTTCTTGTAAATTTGTCGCTTGGCTTTGTTTGCTTTGGCTCTGGCTCTGGCTGTATGTGGAGCAGAGCAACATAGTTAACCTGTGTCGCTGCCACACTGCCACTCGCTTGTTGTCTCTCTCACTCCTCCTTCTATCGCTATCTCACTCTCGTTCTGCATATAAAGCACAACGTGCGCTGTCAAAAGGTTTCTATTGAACCTTTCGGCTCACATTTATTGAAATTTTCTTGTCGCTTGAGAACTTTTCATTTTCATTTTCATAGGCTGTGTTGTTGTTGTTATTATTGTTGTTGTTTCTGTTGCTGTTATTGTTGTACATTTATAATGCGCATCGCTGTTGGCACGACCTCAGACAATTTCTGGCCGCGGCAACACGGCGCTGTGTACCAATTTTTAGTTCCAATGCTTGGCTCATTCACATGCCACTCAGCTTGGCGGGCCGAGAGAGGAGCGGGGGGAGCGCGGAGGCGAGGCGAAGTGGGGGCAACAACATTGGCCGGGATCGTGGCTTCAAATTCATTGGCATGCCAACATGTGCTGCTCCGGCCGTTGTCATATGCCCACTGCCCGCCGCCTGTCGTCCCCCCTGCCGCCCACCGTCCAGACTTTGGTTTATTTAGCACTTGGCTGCACTGCTACTGCCGCTGCTGCCGCTGCTGCTGCTGTTCCTTGACAGTCGCGACTTTTTTTTTGTTTTGGTTTTTTTTTTTATCCAACACATATTCGCGTACATGTTCCAAATGTCTCAAACAAGGCCTGTCCGTCGCTTCGTTCGTGCAAACGTGCTCGACATGCACAGAATTCAATAAATAAAATGATTTCGGTGAAAGCGAAGCGGGCATAGAACGAACCACAGCAGAAGTCGTGTCGTCGCTAATGGCCAAGACAGCGCCAGGAAAGCCCAACAGTCCAACACCAACGGTCCCCCAACACCCCTTCAACAACGCCTCGGCACAGCTTGGGTCATAAAGACTTTGCATAGCTATGCATTGCTGTCGATTTTCGCTAACGTTTTCCCATTATCTACGAGTCGTTAAAGCGACCGACAGACGGAGAGAGAGAGAGAGAGAGATGGTGACGCATATCCATCAAGATGTTAAATGAGTTATGTGCATGGTAATGCATGGCGACACAAGTGAATCAAGTGAATCATAAATTCGCTTTGCTCTCCAATTAATTGTCGCGAAACAAGCGGCGCAAATCAATGAAATTGTTGAAAGTGAAAGAAAAAGGTCGAAAGAGAGAGAGAGAGAGAGAGAGAGAGAGAGAGAGGGACAGAAAAAATAACAAATAAAAAAATTAACGAAAATGAAATGCGAAACATGCAAGAATAATAAATAACTTAAGTCTTTTTTCTTCCCATTTTTGCGTTTTCATTTTTCTGTTTTTTTTTTTTTTTTTTGATCTTACCTTTTTTTTTGCACAGAAATTTGCTTTCGTTGTAGAATCTGAAAGTAAAAGCAAAAGTTGTTGAACAGGTTAATAATAAGCGAAAATTGATGGACAGCCAAAGAGTTTAAAGAAACTTCGGTTGGCTGCGGCAAAAGCCCGAAGAAAACCGAAGCTATAGCTTGATAGGGCAGATCTTAGATATCAGATATATGAATGTATGTCTAGCTGAATGTAAGCTCCTAGTGATATGAATTTATGCTGAGCTGAAGCTGAACAAAATGTTATTAGATTATTTGATAAATGATCTTTCGCCAGCTGCATTAGACGGCGCGTTTGTCGCTTAAGTCATTTGTTTGCCGGTTTCTCTACGTTTCCTCTGGAGCTCTTCCTTTTGTGGCAGCCGCTTCTTCGGCTCTAATAAGATCATAAAATGGAAAACAACAGCAAATTGGCATAATAAAAGCATGAGCATGAAATTAAGCTAAAGCCCGCACCATTCTGCCCAGTTACAGTTACTGCTTCTTTCTTCTTCTGCTGTTTTCTGTTGTTTTTTTGCTTCAGGGCAAACGCGTATCGCTTCAGTGTCGTGGTAAATTACCGTTACCTAATGACACACGACACGTACCAGAACGCGGCTGCGCGGCGGAGAGCAGAGGGTACGGCATATGGGGTATAGAGGGCGCTGGCCCGCTTCCAAACGTGCCGCAGACCCCGGCGATGAGATAAGCCTCACAGCAAAAGCCACAGAGCCAGAGACAGAGCCACAGCAGCTGAACAGCAGCGGCTAGAAGCAAAAGCCGCCGCTGTTCAGCTGCTTGGCCAGAATCATAATGGAGCTGCGCATAGTGAAAGTTAATTGAATTGCCTGCCTTCTGCCTTATGCCTTCTGGCTGCCTACTCAGTTGGCCATCAGAATACATAGAAGCTGACGGTTATTAGTTGCTCGAGTGGAGTTCCTCGAGTTCTCGAACCAGCTCAATTGTTATGCTGACTCTGATCAGAGCCGATTGGCCTGGCCTTTGCCAGCACAATCCGTAAAGAAGAAGCTGCGTGATATTTGACGTCGACTCAGTTTACATATGGATCGAGCTCAGTTATGGCAAATTGAACTAGTTCCATGCAAGATCTAGCTTGGGACTAACTAGAGTTAGTCTAGATATAGTTTTAATGGACGGCTAGATTCTGAGTTAGCTCATAAATGATTCAGTCCATATTAAAATAAGATTCTATAATATTGATATTTTAAAATATTTCCAAGTGAACATATTTATATCTAGTTCATAAAGTTTTGAAATTCTTCTAAATGTTATTTTTCATTAAAAGATTCCGCATTTGAAATTTGGGAAGTCCAATATACATATTTATATAAAATTTATTTATTTATTTAATTTTTTTTTTTTTATAGCATTTTTCAGCTAGTTAGATTTATCGTTAGGCTCATCGCTGCTGTGGTTCGTGTAAGTTTCATGGAATTGTGTAGATGTCTAGCTAGATAGATTAATTTTCAAGAAGTTCTGTGCGGACATCTACAGTTATTCATTGGCTTTGTGTGGATCCATACGATATTTTGATCTGTTTAGATCTGCCACAATATATCCTGAGCCCAGTTGGTTCCCATTGAATCGCAGAGAGTTCTGTCAATCTCACAGTTCTGCTCAGTTCAGTTCCAGCTAATCTAGGCTGGCATATTCTTGCGTCTTTCCGCTATGCTCCAGTGTCTAAGCTAACGGCTTTATAAACTTATAAATCCCGGGAAAACGAACAATGTTTAACGCATAATCAGCTCGGGCGAATCTGGCAAACAGGCCCAGTTTCACGCTAACTTTGAGCTCTGTAACCGAATTGCGTTCGCTTCGCATAAATTGTTCCCGCTGCCCAGCAACGGGCACTTTGCAGCTCTTTATAGTAAACAAAAAGGAAATGTATATATATACATATATTTGTATGTATGTATGTGTATGCGGCAAAAAAATTGTTATGCATGGCAATTTTCCATTTTGAAGCCTCTGCGTTTTAATGCCATGAATTACATTTGACTCGCAGTTCTTGGCCTCGTCCAGACGCGGGCCAGCCTCTCTGCATTGTTGTGGCCAGCAGAGCAGGGGTGGGCGGCAGGGCCAGAGCCAAAAGTGAAATATTTTAAACACCACCGAGTAGCTATGAGTACGTGCCGCTCAGTGCAAGTGTGTCTGTGTGTGTGTGTGTGTGAGATGATATCTAAGAACCCAAATGGTCTTAGCCAGCTGCTCTTCTTCTGCTACTCCTGCTACTCGAATGCCATACCAAGTGCCAGCGCTTGGTGTTGCAGTGTCAGTTTTGCATCTGTAAACAGAGCGAAACGTGGCCAAAACTCACACACACACATACAGACACACATTTATACAGAAGTATAGTTGGCAATTGCAGTTGCAGTTGCAGTTGCAGTTGCAGTTGCAGTTGCATTTGGCAGTTGGGCGTGGACGCGCTGAACAGATTTGCATAGCTACAGCTACAGCTACAGCTGGGGCCTAACGGGGCCCAACCTTTTACCGACCTCAAGGTATTTGGTTACCTTATGCAAATTCAGCCAGCAAATTCATGGGCATTGCCCAACGGATATGGACTATGCGGTTATTACCATTTATAGCGTTCAGCCACGGCTATGAACCGTAGCTGAATGCCAACGGGCCAAGTGCAACTGCAGCAGATATCCGGATACCAGATACCAGATTCCAGATACCAAGGGCTGCTGCATACAGATTCCGAGCAGAGCTAAAACATTTCTATTGCTTCTGCTGGGCCAAGTGCCTTGGCTCCAACACTTGTGAAGGATATGCTTCAGGCTCAGATTAAATAGAGGCTGAGTCAATCAGCTGATTCATATTTGATGCTGTTGATGATATACATATACATATACACTCACACATACATATATGTATATACTAAACCTATGTATATATATCTGTTTCCATATCTAACTATTCATACTTGGCTCAACTGCGTGCAAGCAGGCCCCCACTTTAATTCGGAATCTATAGATAGCTCTGCGCATATTGTGTGTTCCAGCCAAAGGTTCAATTGAGTGACCCTGCCTCGCCTGCTCCTGCTCCGGCGCTGCCTCCCTTGAGGCCTGTTTGTGTTGTGCTGCTGGTGCAACAGTTGCTCTTGTTAACCCCGAGAGAGAGAGAGGGAGAGAGAGGGAGAGAGAGGGATAGAGAGGGATAGAGAGATATGTGGAGTGTCTTGTTGCACATCCTATAGCAAGCAGACAACAGCTAGCGAAATCCTGTACTGGCCTGGCAGGAGCAACAGCAACTCGACACCAAATGGTCGCCATTATCCAAATGGCTGACATGCAACGACATTGATGATGTAGTTCTCTAACCAGTGACCAGCCCAGCCTCACATCTCCTACCTCTCACACACATACACACACACTCTAACTGGCAGCTCCTCCAGTTGCCAGTTTTGGTCTTGTTGCTTGGTTGTTTGGTCTGTTCTAATTGCTGTTTGCCTCGTGTTTTAGCTCGTTCGGTTTGGGGGATTTGCCTCTGCCCCTCTCTCTCTCTGTGTGTGTGTGTGTGTGTGTGTGTCGCTGGGGTGTTTAACTGCGATTTGAGTCACGTTTCATTACTCGTGATGCCAGACAGTAATCACTTGATTTTCCAGCCATTTGCCGGCCTGTTTTTGGTGTTGACTCTGCCAAAGACAAAGCTGCGGCCAGAGTAGATGCCAGAGTCACGTCCAATTTGATTTTGTTTCTCTTCTTCTTCCACTTCTTTTTTTTTTTGGTTAGCTGTTTGCTACCACTCTACGTAGCTTGTTAGTCGGACGACTGGCCTATGGCAAATTCTAATTTGGTTCTCTGTCTTTTATTTTATTTTATTTTATTCTTTTTTTTTTTTTTTTTGTATATGCTTTGATCTCGTGACGCTTGTCATTGCACTCGAGACGGACGCTGATCTTCATTTGCGCGCCATGTACGCGACAGGGACTCGGCGGGGCGGGAGCTGGAGCCATGATAATCAATTAACCCTGGCCAAATGGGCAGCCTGGATGGCCTGAGCAGCTGCAGCTGAAGAGGGAACTTTGATATCGAGTCATTTCGCATTTGGTTTGTGCTCTTTTGACGCTTTGTCTTAGACCTGATTGCGGTTCGGGCTTTTACGTGTTGCTGCTGCCATTGGCGATTTTCAATTTCGCATCGCGGTTAACCTCAAAACACGGCCAGCCATTAGCAGTGCATGAAGGCATCTAACAATCCAGACAACATCGCACTCGCACTCGCACTCGCACTAGAAATCGCGAAATGCGATACTTGTTCTGGCATAGAGCTGCGAGTTCTGCTTTTCTATTGCTTTGTCTTTGTCTCCTCCTCTTATCATTTCTTCTCTATATAGGTAAGGCTTTTCAGTTGGATGAAGTTTTCTACGTTCACGTATCTATGACATGCTGGGAGAAATCGCAAGAAACTAATTTCACATGATCCACGGTCGACGATCTTCAGCTTCAGATCGATTTACAAGCCGCAGATATTTTAATTATCATTATAATTACACAGAACCAAGCTCGACATGGGAAAAGAAGCTATTGTACGAGTATGCAGGGGAAAAGACAGAATACGAGTATTCCAATAGACATTCGAGCTATATTGGAGACTTTTATAAGTTGTTCAGAGAGATGTAAATATAAGTAAATAAATACTATTTGTGAAGCTAGCGATGTGTGCGTGAGCAGTCACGAAAAATGCATTTAAGCACATATTTACCGCAATGAACCGACCAACAATTGTAATTTAAGTTTATAAAATTCCCAAACAACTTGCGAGCTGCATCTTCGCTGGGACTTGGCTGGGGCACGTATCAAAGATTTGTTTTGGGCTTTGCTGCTTATTTTTTCCATTATTTTGGGAAAGGCGACAGAGTCGGCAGCTGGCCGTGCGGCTAAGTAGGTTAATTTTGACCGGTTTGTGGCAACTGGCAAACGCCATTTGGCTAACAACTGCAGCAGTTGCAGTTGCAGTTGCAGTTACTCCTGCTGATTGACTGCTGAGCTGGGCTGCCTTATTAGCCGTCTA